TATAACCAATAATGTTATGTGAAAGACTTTAAAAGCTCAGGTACAACTTTCCAGTTTCCTACAACTGACCATGTAGGTTGGATTTTATATTTGTCCTAACAGTCCCAATGCTTAGAAATAGCAGGATTATTTTGTGGTTGAGGATTCTTTATTTAACAGTTATTTATCAAATGTGATGAATTAATGTGCTCTTTTTAATGGCGAGCTGCTGCTACTGGCTTTCCTGCTATAAGCATACACTTGGAGTTGTTTTTCAGTGCTATGGGAGCTAATGAAGGCCAATTTAAAGCAATTTTCTTTAAGATTGCTGCTCAGCTCGGTCTGACTTGTAATGCTAACACTTATGCCAGGCAAGAGGGAGAAGTTAGCAAATACAATTATATTAATATTGATGTTATTTTAGTTCCTTGGAACCCAGTTATCTTGTAGGCAACCAGTCACATGAATAGAGACCTGATATATTCAATGCATATATTATACCAATAGACCTAGTGTTTAAACAGACATTGAAACCAACTGTTGGAGAAAAGGCAAGCAAGAAAATAGTGTTCAGCCTGAGCTGGCTCTGAGCTTAGGAAACAGGGCAAAATATTCTCTTTTTTTACTGTACTAGATGAGTTAGGGGCGTTTGTTATCTTCCATATGTCGCCATATTTACTATAAAATCATGGTTTTATTTTTTGAAGGGGTGCTATTATTTTATTGTTACAGATATTATTTTTGATCACACATTCTGAGAAGTTTGTACTCTTTCAGATAGATTTAAGTTCACAGGGAACCAAGTAGCTCAGCTCGGACGTAATGAGCACACACAGTCCACAGAGGCTGGTCAGTGATCTGTGCACAGGGGGTACTCAATAGATTTGCTTTACCACAGAGACTTCACTATCAGGGAGAAAAGGAGGAGCGATGACTTACACATTTGTTTGTCATTCTATTGCCTCTCAGGGATTTGCAAGTTTCACTTTTCATTTTAAAAGCAAAATTTCATAGGCTCCCTTCCCAACAATTTAATCCACTTCTAGCAACTAAAATAAAACATGAAGCAAAAATGTGCGTTTGGAAAATTATAGTACTGAACATATTATTGCATGGCACCTCATTTGGTATGGTATACTGTTTTGTATCTTCAATTTCTTTGAGAGCAAAAGGAAATAAATTTCCCTTAAGACCGAAATGTATCCAAGAAAAAATTTCAAAGAGATTAAAAGGCAGTTATACAAAATAGGATATTTTTTTAATTTTATTTTAGAAATAAAAGGAGGAAAATACTAACAGATCGACAACGTTTTACAAAATAGCAAAGGATCAGTACAGACATTACAGAGTTACAAACAGAGTAGTAGGGAATTAACAATGCTAATTGTATTACATATTGATATCTTCAATGTAGTTTCTCATGAAAACACATATAGACATACAAAGCTAATCAACCAATGCCTCACTGACAGTTTCTTTCAGCAAGGAAATACAGGACAGTAGGACACCCGTGTTAACTATCCTGCATATACATATATACAAACTTTCTCAAAATAGGATATTTTTTGTTCCCTCTTATTTTATGTCACTTTGTCTAGTGGAGTATAAACGTTCTAGTGAAAAAAGATTAAGGATATCTAATTTGCAATTAAAGCTAATAAGTATATATTTATGAATTATTTTGTAATTTTTGAGCTGTACGATGGAGATTATTGATTTTCCAGACATGAGACCTAGCAAACTGAAAAAAAAAATCAATGATAAATGCTATATAAATGTGATACTAGAAAAAAAAGCTTAAGCTCTTCCCCAAGTTTCAATTTATTTCACACATTAGGCTAAGCTGTACTAGATGAGTAACACATTTTCAAGATACTTAAATGAAATACAAAATAAGGCAATTTAAATTTCCAAGGTTAAATCAGTAATTTGTATTTGATGCAATAATTTATTTTTTATATTCGAATAATGGGTATATAATTGAGGTTGAATTTTCATGCTGACCCTTATTTTTCAGTTTGTATTTTGATGTGGATACAAAATAAGTGCTTTCTAAAACTGAAAACTTTGAGGTTGGCATTGAAAATTAAGAAAAATTAAGTGTTTTGCAATGGTAGTGAGCATTTTTGTCTCATGACCATCTGAGAATAATATCCAACTTACTTTGATAGCAAATAATTTGAAGACATTTTATTAAAGGTGTTCCTTATAAAGCTATGCAAACATATCCCCTCTGCAGTTTCTTTTTGTCTCCCATTTATGGAGAATAAGGAAATGTGTACAATTTATGACTATTTGGTAACTTTATGAATGGTCGTTCTCATATTTCCCCCTTGGAAGCCATTAGATAATCTGTTTTTGTAATACTGAGTTGAACATGCAGTTTAATATTCTTTTTCAGAACAGCACATAATCATAGGATTATTAGACATCTCATAATTTTTAAAGGTGTCTTAAACCCATTCACGTTTTTTCCTGCGCTGAGTTTCCCAGAGTTACAATCTTTAATTCTTGTTCTCAAAAGCAAACAAACAAAAAAATGTTACCCAAGATGCACATAAAACATGCATTAAAGGGGTTTCCTACTCTATGTTTTTTTATTATCCCTGTACCTTACCACCCACTAGTGTTGTGGATTTAAGAGAGTCGACATAATTGAGTAAGTAAATTACCAAAAACCTAGGCAGCTGCTGCAGACACCTAGCAATAGGCTGCACCTCGGCTCTAATGTTCTCGTATTAGCACATTAAAACAAGCAGAAAGGGGCTCTTAATTACGCCGTGCTTTATGGGAGCGCAGTAAATTCCTTTTGTTGACCTGGCTGCACACTAAATGGTGTTTTTGTGAAGTGTCGAAGCAAGAGATATCAAAGTCATAGATTGAAGGATTATTCTGAGTATTTAAGGAGCGTGTAAGGAGGTAGTCATGAGCACCCAGCACAACCGAATCTGCTCCTCTGAATGCCAAAGTACTAGTTGTTCAACATTTGAAACTGACAGCTTGTAAATGTAAATTTTATTAAATGCACAGCAATAAAAATTTGTAGGTTTCTGTCACTTTGAATTTTAGTGGCTCAAAATGAGGCCTCTCGCCTTTTAAATCACAGCAGGTAAAAGCAGAGTTCTCATGCATTTAGCATTTAAAAATGGGAACCTATTTAGGTTCCACCATGTGCATTTGCTCACATAATGCCCTCTGTGGGGTTCAAGATGGATGTGTCGTGTGGTTAGCTGGCCTGCGTCTTCCACCACCTTCAAATCACAGTTCACAGAGTGTTTCTCTTACACCTGGGGTGGAGGTGCAGGACAGCACTACATGGAAACAATAAAAAGATAAGAAGAAAAAACAAGAAAAAGTAAGGAACAGTATCATGCAGTAACTCACAGCATGGAGGAGTCTGCACGATTAAAAAACTACTGACGCTCATTCCTACGCAGGCTTTGGAAAAACACAACACTCAAGTCATATAAAACATGTGTAGAATGAAAAAACACTGTGGAGAATAAACTCTGGGTTACAATTTCATATAAGTTTCTAAAGCATGGAAGGAAAATTAAAAACATGAACATCAAGGATCAGTTTATTGGCAAAATGGTCATTAGTTTTTCACTTAAGGCAAGTCCAGTGCTAGACTTAAATGGCAATTGTTCCCAATGCTCTAACCTCGCTTAGCAACAGAAGTGCTTCCTTTCTATATGTATTATCCTAGAAAGAAGCATTTTCAGTTGATGTCTGACCAACGTTAGAGTTTAAACATAGAAACTGAATATGCAGTTTGTCAAGTAATATTACTTTACCTTAGTGAATATTGGTGCTACAAATGGCTTTTCTGATGATACTTATGAGAAAGCGTTTGGCCACCTGCAGTTGTTAAATATCCCCTGGCACTTTTTCTAAGGGTTGAAGTATTACCCTATGTTTTGGCCACGTTCCAGTTTAGCCTAATGGCATTCGTCCTCTCAAAGTTTCCTTTGCAGTTTTAATTGGATTTGACCCTTTTCTTTACTTTAAGGAGCCTTTGCTCTGAAACGTTCCCATTCTGGCAGAAAGAAAGGAGACAATCATCCTTTCTTTGGCTAAATTTCTGGAGAGTATTATAATGTTCTGTGCATTACCAAAGTGAATTTCAACACTGTGCATGTGTAAGTATTAGAGGGCTTTAGTGTTTCTAAGTATTCTTTGATGTGTGCATGGACTCTTCACTCAAATGGTTTTACTTTTAAAATACTTTAAAGGATGATGTAAAACAACTGTTTTATTTTTATTTTATTTTTTTTATTTTTTTGGTTTTTCTCCGGTACCGGGAACCGAACTCACGACCTTGCGCTTGCAAGGCAGGCGCTTTGCCGCTGAGCTAAATCCCCAGCCCCAAAACAACTGTTTTAAACACACAGACTCAATGTCTTATTTTTAAAATGGTGGAATCAAGAAAAACCTTACAATAATTCATACATATTTAAAGATTTTGATTAGCAAGACAGAAGTCATAGTTTAGGGGTCCAACTTTCCTTTCTATGTTAAAAATCAAAGTCTTTTCTCAAAAACCTGTCTGGTTCAGCTGACATTTATTTGAAACTCATAAATGTAATACTTCTTGGGACTGCTACTTCTACTGAATTGAAACTCCAGTTAAGTATAGAGGACATATCAGTTAAATAGTTCTTAGGGTTTTCTTACTTAATACAATTTAAATTTGAGAGATGGCCACTTCTAAGAACATTTCTACTTCTGGTTTCTCATCTTCCTCTAGCACTTCTGCTGAGGTCAATTCCTCATCTTGTTACGATTCTCACTGCAGTCTGCCCTGTGTATACCTGCATATGCTAGAGCCTCAGGTTCAACTAACTATAGATGGAAAATATTGGGAGGATTCCATCTGTATCAAACATTTTAAAAATGTAGCTGACATTAAACATCAAATGGTATTCCTTAACATGAAAATTAAAATAATTGATTTTGTTTTTGTTTTTTTTTTTGGTTTTTCTCCGGTACCAGGAACCAAACTCACGACCTTGCGCTTGGCAGGCAGGCGCTTTGCCGCTGAGCTAAATCCCCAGCCCCTAAAATAATTGAGATTAATATCACAACAGACTTTATGCAGATGATAAGAAACATGTTGTGAATAAGAAGATCCAGAAGAGAACTGCAAAAAAAAGATAAAAAAGAAAATATGAAGCAAATGTTGAAAGACATATAGAATAAAGTGAAAAGCTCTAACCAATATCTACACTGAATTTTAGAACACAATGAAAGGGAATACAAGGCACATGCAATATTTGTAGTGTTAAGTGGCAAAAGTTTGTCTAAAGAAACTTTGTCTAAAAGAAGGACATTCATCCACTGATTCAAGAATCACTATGAATCTCAAACAAGTTATAACAATTTCACCTACAGATACATTCTATGAAAATGTAGAACTTCAAAGACATGCAGAGGATCTTAAAGTTAGATCATCACTTAAAGAATGGCATGCTTATCGTTATCATCTGCCTTCGTGGATGTCGCACCAGGAATGATATCTCCCACAGAACCTGTAAGAAAATAACAGCCATGCTAAATCTCTGTAGACAGAGAAAATATTGTACAAGAAAGGAGTCAAAAATATTTTCAGACTAATAAAATTTGACTTACCACCATTTGACCCACTCAGAAGGAAATTTTCAAAGTCATACTTTAGGCAGGGGAAAGAAAATACCATATGGGCGGACATGTAAGGGCAAAAGGAAAGTGATGATTATGTGGGCAAATAAGTAAACACTCAGTGTATTAGATAATAATATCCTGTAGAGTTCAAAAGGGTGGAATTACAATACATGACAGTAATATGCATGCGAGAGAAAGAAAAACGGGGTAAAATGATTTAAAGTCACGATAAAAGAATGCAAGGTTAGTTTGACATTATAAAATTAAATAATGTAACATGCTATATTTAAAATTAAAGAATAAAAGTCATGATCATCACAAATGAAGGAAAGAAGAAAATATAATATGATAGGACTCAAAATCTACTCCTAATTTTCAAAAATCCTTTAGCAAAGGAGAAATCAAAAGGAACTCTTCTCATTTGATAAAAGAATTTATAAAAGTATTACAGCAAATATAATACAGAGATATATAACATAATCCTGCAAATATAATACTTAATGCTAGATATTAAAAGTTTTCCTTTGAGGTTGAGAAGGATTCCTACTGTCACTAAGATTCTTCATCGATATACAGTCATTCTAGCTACAAGCATGGCTTCATAAAAAGTATTGTAAGGACCAGAAATGAAAAAAATTTAAAACTATGATTATCTAAAATTAGTATAATTATGTTGTTTTTTTTTTTCTTTTGGTTCTTTTTCCGGTACCGGGAATCGAACTCATGGCATTGTGCTTGCCAGGCAGGCACTGTGCCACTGAGCTAAAGCCCCAGCCCTAGTTTAATTGTGTTCAATGAAAGTCCTAAACAATTACAGATGGCTCATTAACTTTAGTAAGTGAATTTAGCAAGTCTCCTGGATACAAACTCAATATGCAAAAATCAATTACAAGTTTATATACCAATAACTAATAGAAAATTAAATGAAAATCACAATATCATAAATATAACACAGAAATAAATATAACACACTTTATATGTAACAAAAAGAATATATCTAGCAAAAGATATAATGCATTTAATAATGTATCTGACAAGGTTAATATGGTCTCTGTAATCTTCAAAGAGTTAAAATCTTTTGTTTTTTGAAGACCTCCAAGTCATTTACATCCATAGATTTAGTTCCATTTACTGCTTTACTCTTCTGATTTGCTATGATTTATAGCTTGAATTCTCTTTTTGCATTTTATCTGTTCAATCTTCTATGTTCAAATTGCAGGAGATCGCCTCAAAAGCTTAGAGAACAATTCTAACTAGCAGTCCAATGATAGGGGTAGTGGGTTGAATGGGAGCCTTCTGAAAGAGATGTCCATGCACTTTCCTCCAGACTCTCTAAGTATGATGTTTGAAAATTCACCTTTGAGGACGTGATTTAGGTGTGATCTCCCTAGATTACTTAGGTGGGGTCTCAATCTAGTGAGGAGTGTCCTAAGAGACACAGAGGAGGAACACCCCCAGAGAAGGAGGTCATGTGGGTGATGGGGATAGATACTGGGACATGCAATCACAAGCTAAGGAACTGCTAAAGCCCACAGATGCTTGAAGAACAAGGAAGGGCTTTCCTCTGGAGTCTGGATTGGGAGTGCAGCTCTATTTGCAACTTGATCTTGGACTTCCCACTTTCAGAGGTGTGACACAATATATTTCTGTTGTATCATACCACCAAGTTGGTGGTACTTTTTTACAGCAGCTTGGGAAATCCTAATAGAATCCTCCTAGAGTAGGCACTTTGTACTCTAGTTATTAATTCTTTTTCAGTTTTATGTGTTGCAAAGCTCTTTTAGGAGTCCATCTTCTGTCATTTATCTCTGAATTGGGTTCATTGGTATCTCTTCTCACAAAAGAAATGCCTCATTGTTTTCTAAAACATGTTACTTTTTCCAGAAAGACCTGATCTTTTCCCCCTGAAATTAATGTAAAGGTAGTGTCAGAGTAGTCTAGCGCCAAGTTACCTTTAAGCGATAGACATTTGTGCTAGTGAAGTTAGTACAGTCTCTTGGCATTAACAAAAATCAACCTCATATTTGCTAGAACATCCTGACAGGATCAAAAGAGGAAAGACTATGCCTTCACATGGAATCTAAGCACAACATTTTTACTATCCTAGAAGGATCAGGGAGGGAAAATAATTGACTCTATAAGAGTTGCAGAAAGGTAGCTGGATGACTACACAGTTAGTGCTGAGGTGAGAAATTCTGTTTTAATTTGCCCTTGTTTCTAATACATAAGATACAACCTTTTCTAACTCCCTCTTCATATATTTCTTAGTCTGATATAAAACTTTAAATTTGTACATTTCTCCCTTCTAGAATAATTTACATCTGACAAATCTCAAATGAGTCATCTGGCTAACTGACTATTCATAGATAATTACTCAGTAGCTCAGACATTGAGCGAATTAACTAATATATTTAAAAAATTGAAAGTCAATTTCAAGATTTCTGGGGTGGGCTTTAAATTGCCAGCACTCTGAGAACCTGGGTCTTCCCCTTCTTCCATGGGTCACCAGTGAGAACCTTCACAGGTATTCACATCAGTAAGTATTTTTCTCATTACCTAAGGAGAACACTGATGTGTTCGGGGAGGGCTTCGGAAGGGAGAAGCAAGAGTCTCTTAGCTTAGCGTGTTGCACAATGAAGCTCAGAGATAGGTATTTTCCCTGAAGTACTTTGGCTGTGACCTGAACTACTGGAGTTCAGCCTCCACATAATTGCAGCACAGCCAGGGGTCCCTTCTGGAAAGCAGCTGCTTGATCGGGGATTCATTTATCAGGGGGATTATGACTCCAAACATTTTTCTACACTGTTGTGGCCATTTAAAGGGAGAAAAAAAGAGGAGTCTGGGGAACTAATTAGGAAGGAGTGGCTCCCCTCTGAGTCTTGACCTTAACCCCACTGAGAAAGTATGGGATTTACTTTACCTAAGTAAGGAAAGAACATAAATAGTTGGCAAAAATGCTTTGTGGTATGACTTTCAGCAAGGAATGAATTGGCCTGACACACAGAGAGAGGGGAAAAAAACACATCAGGAAAATGCAAAGTGCTTTCAAAGCAGAAAGTAAATGTAACATTGGGTCACATGTTTTTATTTTGGGTTTTCGAGTTACAAGAAAATAAATGGATTTGAGCCTATGATTAGCATACACAGAATATAATGTAAAAACGTTTTCTCCTGCCTTCCGTATGGTATGAAGTTTTACCACCACGAATCTGGTCATGCTTTCTCTTATTCCGCTAATACACTGTATTTTCCACATACATATTTTAATGTCTTTCATGAGTTCTGAAAAAAGGCTCTTCCTTTTAAAATATTGTCTCTCCCAAGTTCTTTCTCTCCTCCATCCAACTGTAGTTCTATGTTACACCTTCTCATTTTTTTCTGTTTCTTAATGCCTCATTCATATATTTAATATTCTGATATTATGCATTTTCATTATAGATATCTTCTACACCAGGCAGCTGCAAGTGTCCCGCGTAATCTATAGACTAAGCTTTTAATTTCTACGCTGGAAATTCTAACAGTTCCATTTCTTTCTTTCTCTTTTTTTGGTACCAGGAATCAAACTGAGGACCTTGCGCTTGCCAGGCAGGCGCTCTGCTGCTGAGCTATATCCCCGGCCCGACAGCTCCATTTTTGAAAATTGGTGTTTTAGTTTTTAGAGATCTCTAATTCTGTCTTCAGGGGCTTTGAAGCGTCCATACTTTGTAAAACCTTTAGAAGCAGAAATTTCGCTTGTCTTCAAGTCTATCTTTGTCATAATTAAACTGCAGGGAAAAGGAAAAGATAAGAGCTACGAAATTCAAATGAAGAAAAACAAGGAAGTGTATATCTTGTATATTTTATAGATTTTTACAAATAGTAGTGTTTAACTTAATCTTCATAGTAATTTTATGAGGCGTTTACTCTTATTTCTCTTTTAAGGGTAAGGAGACAGGCTAAAAGGCCTACCCAAAGCCACCAAGTTGGTAATAAGTAGAGGTGAAATGAAAGCCATGTTTTAGTACTCTCATTATATTCAGATTTCTTTCTAGTACAAATCCTTAAATAATTTTCATGAATATTCCAGGAGGTAGTAGAGTGTGAAGCAGTTAGGGAAAAGGGTATGTTATTACATTACATAGAAGTTAAGCTTTCTTTGGTAAAGGCAAACTAGACTCAGCTCAAGGCAATTCAAAATGTTTCCTGGGTAAAAAAAAAAAAAAAAACCAAAATGTTTCCTGGGTAAATAACAAGGGATTTTCAAAATGCTTTCTTTTTTCCCATTATTTTCTATTTTATTTTCATTTCCACATTTCTTTATTTCTTGCTTTATTTTCTCTATGTTTCCAACCTGTCTTTCATGATCTCTTAGTCGGTAAGGCAATTTATAGATTGCAATTTATGATAATTTTAGAGCTAATCCTTTTTACTTTTGTTGGAACATGAAGATGAAATTAGATACTGCGTACTGAAGTTCTACATGAGGTATCTGGTTCATAATGAGTGCTCAAAAGAAGAGGAATTAGGAATTTCTTTAATGTGCAAAGGTAGCATAAATACTAATTAGATAACTAATAATCCATTTTTGCACCCTTCATAGCATGTATGTTTTTGAGCTCTCTAAAGAAGCACAGCTGACAGGATTTAGGAGACATAGAGAGACTGACTTAGGAAATTGGTACATGAGACTGGGGAGGCTGGCAAGTTTGAAATTTGCAGGGCAGACGGGCCGGAAACTCAGGTAGGATGTGTAGCCTGTGATAGTCTTTAGGTAGAATATCTCCCCAGGAAATTTTGTTCTTGAAAAGTAACTGTCATATAGCATGTTGTATTACTCTGTAGCTTTGCATGTACACGGGCTAATCAATGCTTTTCTTGGATTTAGTTAAATTTCTTTGGGAGAATGATT